TGGTAGGTCTCCACCCAGGCCACTGATTATCATGACCTGGGGTTTCCTCTAAGAAAGCCTTTATTGCTACTCCAATGCAGGGATGGTGTGTGTGTGTGTGTGTGTGTGTGTGTGTGTGTGTACACTAGTTAAAAAAAAAGTGCTGGACGGTGGTGGCGCACGCCTTTAATCCCAGCACTCGGGAGGCAGAGGCAGGCGGATCTCTGTGAGTTCGAGGCCAGCCTGGTCTACAGAGTGAGTTCCAGGACAGCCTCCAAAACAATACAGAGAAACCCTGTCTCGAAAAAACAAAAAAACAAACAAACAAACAAAAAAAAACAAAACAAAAACCAAAAAAAACCAAAAACAAGTAATTACGCATTTGATCCTCCCTCACAAGACAGGGACAAAATGGAGGACTCAGTTTCTAACAAAGGTGGACGCCTCTGCTGTCAATTGCTTTACATGAAATACTGTTCCTTGTTCATTTGTTTTTGAGACAGGGTCTTTCTATGTAGTCTAGTTTGTCCTGGAGCTTAATATGTAGACCAGGCTGGCCTCAAATTCGGACTCACCTGCTTCTGCCTCTTGTTGGCTGGGATAAAAGGCCTGTGTCATCATGCCCAATTTTTTACCCCAACATTCAAAGCTTTTTTTTTTTCCCCCGGTTTTTCGAGACAGGGTTTCTCTGTATTGTTTTGGCCAAAGCTTTTTTTTAATGACAGTAAAATCCAGGTTTTTGTAGTGACAGCTGGCCCTTCTGCCTCTGGCTCCTTTGAATTTCCAGCCCTTGAGGGGGACATAGGGTTTGGTATGGCTGTGTTGGAGCTCCTGGGGCCTTGCCAAGTTGCTGGTCCAGAGTGCTTGTTTTGTTTTTTGAGACAGGGTCTCAGATAGCCCAGGCTGGACTCCAACAGCATAACTACCCGAGGATGACCTTGAACTTCTGATCCTTCCCACTGAATTGCAGGAGGCCAAACCCAGGGTTTCTTTTTCTTTTGGCTTTTCCAGACATGGTTTCTCTGTAGCTTTGGAGGTTATCCTGGAGCTCACTCTGTAGACCAGGCTGGCCTTGAACTCACAGAGATATGGTGCTTCTACCTCCCTAGTGCTGGGATTAAAGGCTTGAGCCACCAACACGCCAACGCCAAACACGCTGGACAAACACTGTTCTAAGTGATCTACATCCCCCAGGACTGGAAATGCCTGCAGTTTCTTCTTGTGAGTTGACTTGAGACTTGGTCAGGCAGGGAGTTAGAGGTTATTCTCCTTGAAACGCTCTAAAGAATATTGCATCCAAAATTCTATCCATGCTCCATGGATAGAGTAGATATCTAATCCAACTCTTTTTGTAAAAACCCCCCATTTTAGTGGGGAGTGCCACGCCAGTCAAAGGATGAATTAGTGGGGGTTGGCTGTCTCCCTCCACCCCGTGGGTCCCGGGGAGGGTTCTCAGTGAGGAACTACGAGTTAGAAGGTCTCTGACCAGCAGACTTTCGGGGAGCCGGGCACAAATAGCTGATGAAGATGGCAAACTTCCGGCTTCTTCCTCACCTCCCCGACCTGAGACAAAAGTCCGGCAACTTAAAGAGACCTGGCCAGCTTTTCCTCCCGCCAGTTACCCCCCCACTTTGCTGGCGGACCGGTTTGACGAGTTCAAGACTGGATCTGGACAGTTTGCCTCAAAGTTGTCAGCCTATCAGCCTCTCCGTCTTTGTTCAAACCGACCAACCCCAAATTAGGGAATGAGGACCTCCCCCAAAACCTTTAATACCCGGCCCCGGAGGAGAAGCAGGAATTTGGGCACTGGAGTTTCCCTTTGGCTTTGCGGAAGCTCTTTTTCTGTGTATTTGTTGTGGGTTTCCTCTCCCTAATAAAAAAGCCTCTCTCCCCTGGCTGATTCGGTCTGTTGAGTCTGAGGTCCTCCCCTGCGGCTTCCCGTTTCTCTCGAGATTTCCCCTACCTTTTAAATCTTTAACTGGCAGAGAAAAATGAAGCCGATCAAGACCCCCGGATGATAATAGCAGCTGGAGCCTTTATCCCCTGAGCAATACTGCCAGCCCCCAAGGCATTCTCACATCGGAAGAGTTAGGTAAGGATGCCCATAGGAGGCTAAGCATGGTGTACACCTGTACTCCCAGCACTTGGGAGGCAGAGGCAGGAGGATCGAAATCTGAAGGTTATTCTTGGTGGCATAGTAGGCTGCCAGGGAACTACATAAAAACCTGCCCAGAAAACTACAGCCTTTACTCCTAGCAGAGGCAGGCGTATTGCTAGCAGAGGCAGGCGAATATCTGGGAGTTCCAGGCCAGCCTGATCTACACAGTGAGTCAAAGGGCAGTCAGGGATGGCTACGTAGATACCCTATCAAAAAAACAAAAACAAAAAGAGGGGGAGAGAGAGACAGAGACAGAGAGAGAAGAGAGGAGGCGGGGTTGAGATGGCTCAGTAGTTAAGAGAACTTGCTACCATTATACAGGATCTGGTTTGGCTTGGTTCCCAGTACTCATATGGTGGTTCAAACCCACCTGTAACTCCAGTACCAGGACATCTCTGATGCCTTCTTCTTCTTCTTCTTCTTCTTCTTCTTCTTCTTCTTCTTCTTCTTCTTCTTCTTCTTCTTCTTCTTCTTCTTCTTCTTTTTGGTTTTTACGAGACAGGGTTTCTCTGTATTGTTTTGGAGGCTGTCGGTCCAGCCCAGCCTCGAACTCACAGCGATCCGCCGGTCTCTGCCTCCTGAGTGCTGGGATTAAAAGGCGTGCGCCACCAGTGCCCGGCCTCTGATGCCTTCTTCTAACCTCTGTGGGCACCAGGCACACAGGTGATGCACATACATACCTGCAGGGAAAACACTCAAACACACAGAAATTAACAAATCTAAAAAACAAAACAAAACAGATCCTCCTAGAGCCTTCATCCAGGAGTTGATGGAAGCAGAGGCAGACACCCACAGCTAAACACTGAACTGAACTCCTGGAACCCATTGTCAGAGAGGGATGCGTGATGAGCAAAGGGGTCAAGACCCAGCTAGTGAAACCCACAGAGGCAGCTGACCTGAACAAGGGGGAGCTCACGGACCCTAGACTGGTGGCTGAGAGGCCAGCATGGGACTGATCCAGACCCCCCTGAACTGGGTGTCAGTGAGGAGGCCTTGGCAATCTATGGGGCCTCGGATAGTAGATCAGTATTTATCTCCGGTGTACAAATGGACTTTACAAATGGACTGTGGGAGCCCATTCGACATGGAGGGATGCTCTCTCAACCATGGGGGAGGGCCTAGGCCTTGCCTGGAATGATATGACTTTGAAGATCCCCCATGGAAGACCTCACCCTCCCTGGGGAACAGAGGGGGGAGGGGGACTGGTGGGGGGAGGGAGGGGAGGGAAGGGGAGGGAAGGGGAGCTGGGATTGACATGTGAAGCTGGCTTGTTTCTAATTTAAATTTAAAAAGAAAAAACCCACAAATTTCCACTTTTATTAGAAAAGAAATTTGAATTTTGAGAATAGTCTTAGAATTATATTTGGGTATAGAATTTCACAACTATATTAGTGTTTTAAAAAAAGTTTGTATTTTGGTGTGTGTATGTGTTTGCCTATGTAGTTATATACACCACGGGCGCACGGTGCCAGCAGAGGTTATGTGAAGGCAGCTGATCCCCTGCAAATGGAGTCACAGATTGTTGTGAGCCATCCAACAGGCTCTCAGCATCAAACTCAGGGCTTGTGCAAGATCCTAGGCATTCACTCCCAACTGAGACACATTCCCATATGAGCGTTTTAATAGTTAATAAAATCGTCAAGTCATTACAATTATTTATTTATTTTGGTTTCAATTATTTTAAGACCGTAGAATGAGGCTGGGCGGTGGTGGCGCATGCCTATAATCTCAGCACTCCGGAAGCAGATAGGTGGATCCTGTGAGTTCGAGGCCAGCCTGGTCTAAAGAGCTCCTGGACAGATTCTAAAGCTACAGAGAAACCCTGTCTCGAAAGACAAAGTAAATAAAAAATAAAAGCTTGTAGAGAGAGCTTTGAATCCATCTCCAATGAAACAGACTGTCCTTTGTTTCTAAGACTTTCCGTAAATTTTCGAAGAAATTGATTTTTATCAACACTGTTCTTTGATATACGAATAGGAGGCCATGACACTGAAAAAGAGCCGGAAGGGGTATAGGGTAGGGTTTGAGGGAGGGACGGGTAGGGGGAAATGATGTAATCCCATCATAATCTCAAGACATAAGAAAAAACAATTAAAAATACATTATAATCAAAACTGTAGCACTTTAGTTAATAAAAAAAAAAGTATCGGGCCGGGCAGTGGTGGTGCACGCCTTTAATCCCAGCACTCTGTGAGTTCGAGACCAACCTTACAAGAGCTAGTTCCAGGACAGCCTCCAAAACCACAGAGAAACACTGTCTCAAAAAAACCAACCAAACAAACAAAAAGTATCGGGTTGGAGAGACGGCCCAGCGGTTAAGATCACTTCCTGCTCTAGCAGGTGACTCGGTTCCGTTCTAGTCACCCACAAGAGGGCTCGCAGCCATCCATAACTCCAGTTCCTGGGGATCCGAAGCCCTCCGCGGGCACTAGCCACGCACGCACGTGGCGCACACACATGCAGGCAAAGCATTCGTACACATAACATACACTTTTAAAGAGTTTGAAGAAGCCCTGGAACGCAAACTTCCGGGGGTAGCGCAGTGACAGTGCGCCTTACTATTGCCTTTTGCCTGGGAAGCTCTCGGTGTGACTCGGTATCTCTTTCGGCTTTCACGTCCAGGTCTTGTCATCCTGGCGGCGACATCCGGTCCTTCCCGGGTACCCCACCTGACCCCATTCCCCGCCTCGAGTCCCACGCTGGAGCACCGGGGCGGCTCACACCTGGACAGGGAGGCGGGGAGCGGGGCGGGTGACTCACCGCAGGGCAGGGCGGGCGAGCGAGCGGAGGGGAGGTGCGGGGAGGGCGCGGGGCGGGGCCCCGGGGCTGCAAGTCCGCAGGTGGGTCCCCGCCTCGCCGCGCGCCCAGAGCGCATAGTCCCTCGGCCGCTGCGCAGCACTTCTGTCCCCGGAGCCGTCCCGCGCCGCAGCCCCGCCGAGTCCCCGACGCTCCGCGCGCAGCATGGCGCGCCCCCAGGCCCTCGCCTTCGGGCTCCTGCTCGCAGTGGCCACAGCGACGCTGGCCGCGGCTCAGGAAAGTGGAGGTGAGGCGTGGACCTGCAGCGGGGGGTGTGGGGTCGTGTCCGGCCGGTGATGGGGAGATGGACCTCCGGCTGGCCCCGAGTCCCGAGGGCGCGAGCAGGACGTGCGCTCGGATGTGGTAGCGGTGTGGTGTGCCTGGAGGGGACCTGAGTCTAGGGTGACGGAGCGGCCACCGCCCGGGGTCTAGCGGCTCCAACTTGGGGTTCCAGGTCCCAGAGCGCGGGCCTTTGTTGTGGCGACCCGCCAGTCCTCCCTCCCTCCCCTCCCGTACCTTCGACGGTCCCCGGATGTGGGCCCCGGGAGGGGACAGGCAGCTCCCCAGAGGCCGCTATGCACCTGCGCGTCAGAGGCGGGCCTGCCTGGGGACTTACCTGCCGGAGGTGCTTCCCTTTTCTAAGAATCATGACTAACGCCGTGTTTATTGTAGGGAGGATAGATACCAAGATAAACTGTAAGGACCTTGTTAAAAATCCCATAAGCTTCCCACTCTTTAAGAATTCCCTAGTTAAAAATTGCGTATATTTGTGGTTTCGGAGTACAAGAGTTATATCGTGATCTAACATTCATCAAGGAAGTTTTCCACTTCCTTTAGGCTTTTATTTTTATGTTTATTTGTGGTGTGTGCGTGCGTGCGTGTGTGCGTGTGTGTGTGTGTGTGTGTGTAGTCAGGCAATTTGTGGGAGTCAGTTCTCCCACCACGACGGTGCTGGGGTTCAAACTCAGGTGGTCGTGGGCCTTTATCTCCTCGTTGTCTTTATCTTTTAAGAACTGTCCTGTACCGAAACTGTTACCGAACGATCTGTAGAAGGAAGGGCATGGAGGAGTCTGATCCTAGTTGTTCTTACTGTAGAGTGGGCCGTGACTTCTGACTTATTTCTGAAATAAGTGTCTGGCTGGAAGTGGACGCCGCCAAGAATCTCTCTTCCTTCCGTTTCTCCCTCGATTTTTAAGTTAAATATAGTTAGTTTTGCTTCCTGGTTAGAATTTCATTCGCTACCAGCAGAGGTGGCCTATATTCATTAGTTACACTTTAAGTAATGCGGTTTAATAAATTTATATTTTTTTCTGACTTCAGTCTGGGGATAAACTGCAGTTGGAAGGACGGGGTTTAGAGAGAGTGCTTACCTCGCAAACCCTGGGCTTGATTCCCTAACACCCCATAAGCCAGGTGTGGTGTACCTGTGACCTACCGCAGTTACAAAGGGGAAGCCGGAGGATCAGCAGTTTAAGGCTATCCTCAGCCCAGTATGGCGATGGGGGACAGCCTGGGCTGTAGGAGACCCTGTTTAATGAAGAAAAGATCGACTAGAAACCTATTGGGCCCCAAGGCAGGCATTTTTATTTTATTTTTTTAAGAAAACTGGGTAAGAAAGGGATAAGTGAGGAGGGTCCGTAGACCTCAGAATTGGAACTGTTGACTCGTTGGGGAAAAGATAAAGGAGCTAGCAGACCAGGGTATAATCAGAAGGGTGGAAGATCTTGGAAAGTGAGGTTCCACTCCTAAGCCCAGCTGGAGGCGGGAGGGCAGTAGTGAGCTTGGGCTTCCAGAAAGGTGGAGGGGGAGTGGTGGGAGCTTAGAGAAAAGGAAGGAAAATTTTTTTGTTGTAGTAATGGCAGAGCCATTAAAATGACTCAGTGTGGGGCTGGAGAGATGGCTCAGAGGTTAAGAGCACTGACTGCTCTTCTAGGGGTCCTGAGTTCAATTCCCAGCAACCACATGGTGGCTCACAACCATCTACAATTCAATCTGGTGTCCTCTTCTGGCATGCAGGCAGAACACTGTATATGTAATAAATAAATAAATCTTAAAAAAAATGACTCAGTGTGTAAAGTTACTCTGGAGTTAAATTCCCAGGACCCACAGGCAGAAGGGGAGAATGGACTCCCCAAGTTGCCCTCTGACTCCCACATTTGAACTGTGGTATGTGTGTACATAAAATATATAGAAATGCACAAAGAAATAGATAAAGGTTGGCTTTAAAAAAATGAAGCCTTGTAGCACAAAAGAAGGCTGATAAGATCTCTAGAGGGCTGCATTTAAAAGGCCTTGTTTCTGGCTGGGCTGCTTTAGTCCTAGTACTCGGGTTGAAGATCTGGCAGGCAGATCTCTGAAGAAGGCTTGGTCTACATAGAGAGTTCCGGGCCATCCAGGGGTACATAGTTAAACTCTGTTTCAAACACAGACTGAACCAGCTGTAGTGGTACATGCCTGTGATCCCAGCCCTTAGGAGGCGGAAGCAGGAGGATTCTGAGCCTGGGTTTTGTAGCAAGACCCTGCCTCAAAAAACACAAATCCAGCAATGACACAGTCGACCGTGGGTAGTAACTAACATGTCTCATCCCGGCACGCAGGCAGCCCCGCGTGAAGAATCTCTGGTTTGGTTGCCTGTGAAATGGCTCAGTGAGTGAAGGTGCCGTGGATCAGCCCACAGACCACTGATGCCTGGACCCATGGGATAGGCGGAGAGAAAGAACTCTATATGTAGTTTATCCTCCGACCTCTGTACATATACCACAGGGTGCCCCTGCTCCCAGTAAGTTAATCTAATACATTTAGACAGAAAGAGAATCTCGGGTTTGACGCCAATCTGGGCTATCTCAACAACAATGAAATGCAGCCAAGGGTGTAGCTCATTGGGAGAGGCTAAACTAGCATCAGTAGGGTCCCAGGCTCTATCCTCAGCACCCCCCAATATTCTTCCCTTGGGGCCCCTCCCGGTCTGGAAAGTTCTGGGTCATAGTTTCCTTAATAAATCTTTTTGGTTTTTCGAGACAGGGTTTCTCTGTGTAGCTCTGGCTGCCCTGGGACTTGCTCTGTAGACCAGGCTGTCCTTGAACTCACAGAGATCCGCCTGCCTCTGCCTCCCAAGTGCTGGGATCCAGGACCGCTTCTTAAAGGCATGACTGACTGGGTGAGTTAACAGTTGTGGCTAACATTGTAAACTGAATTTTTACACTTTTCTAGCCTGTGTCTGTGAAAACTACAAGCTGGGGACAAGCTGCTTTCGGAATGACAGAGGCGAATGCCAGTGTACTTCCCTCGGTACATCGAATACTGTCGTGTGCTCCAAATGTGAGTAAAGACATTCTTGTGGCCTGCAAGTTTGATCTTGATAAGACTTGTTATCAAGGCCCCTTGATTTGAGTTCTATTGGCTCTCATCCAACTGTTATTTTGTGGAAATGATCTGAGACTCAAGGTTCTTACCTCTACCAAGCGATTTGAGTGTGGGAAAAATGGAAGGGATCGTGAAATAATCCCTTTGGCCTGGGATCATGACGTTAAAGAAATTTTCCCCATGGGCATGTGAAACCGTAGCTGTTTTTCACCTTGCGGTCACATTTCCTTTTCAGTGGCATCCAAATGCTTGGTGATGAAGGCGGAAATGACTTACAGCAACAGGTCTGGGAGGAGGCTGAAACCCGAGGGGGCCATACAGAACAATGACGGCATGTACAACCCCGAGTGTGACGAGCTGGGGCTCTTTAAAGCCAAGCAGTGCAACGGCACCGCCACGTGCTGGTGTGTGAACACCGCGGGCGTCCGGAGGACCGACAAAGACACGGAAATAACCTGCTCCGAGCGAGTGAGGACCTAGTGAGTGGTTGTTCTTGTTGCTGCTTTCACGCTGTTCTCATTTGTCTAATTAAATCCACGTTTGAATATGAAGTAAGGTTTTGTGGTTTGGAGTTCCAAAAGCCGGGAGAAGCTGGGTGTGGACACGCACACCTGTAAACCCTGCCCTCTGGAGCTCTGGAGGTGCGGGCAGGAGGAGGATGAGGAGTTCAGGGCTAGCCTTGTCTGCATAGTGAGTTTGAGGCTAATCTGGGCTACTTGAGATCCTCTCTCAAAGAGGTGGGGGGAAACGGTATGGAGTAGTAAATGTGTCCGTGTTGTCCCGTTCCTCATAAAACTGGTGTCACCAGTTTTGAGTTTTATTGGCCCTACTCCAATTGTGTTGGTTTTATTGGCTCTAGTTCAACTGTGTTATTTTGTGGAAATTATCTGACTGCTGAAGGTTATCTTTGACAAATAATTGTGAGAAAATGGAAGGAAGCATGGAATAATCTTTGGCCTGGTGATGACTTTAGTTACGTTTTCCCTTATGTACATGAAACAGTAGTCAGTTTGACGTTACCTTTTTAGAACTGGTTTATGAATTCCCCGTGAAGATAGGTGGCTCTTAGGTTTTACAGAGATGGTATTATACTGACTTTTTTTTTTTCTTTTTCCCCGAGGCAAGGTTTCTCTGTGACTTTGGAGGCTGTACTGGAACTAGCTCTTGTAGACCAGGCTGGTCTCGAACTCACAGAGATCCACCTGCCTCTGCCTCCCGAGTGCTGGGATTAAAGGTGTGCGCCACCACTGCCTGGCTCTGACATTGTTTTCATTTTAACCTCTGTACTGAATTTTGAAGTTGGATTAGAATTATTAAGTGACTTAAACTGCATCTGCTCATTTATTGTGCTTTTAAAGTGAGCTATCTGCTGAAGACCTAAGTGGTAGAAAAGCTGGGGGTGAGTTGATAGCATGGTGGAGGGGATGGGAGAGAGATGAATGGAAACAGAAACCCACTCAAACTTCGCTTAAGCAGAAAAGACCACTGGAAGGGACAGGGAACTGGAAAGACGTCAGGACCGAAACCTGCAGTGGGTTACCACGTTTGGAGTCTTGTGGTCAGATGTTCCTCTGTGTGTTTCTGTGCTTTCTCTCCCCCCACCCCCATCTCTTTCTGATGGCTTCATGTTAGAATCTTGGCTTGTCTCAAATCTGGGCCATCTCCTTCCTCTGCCTCCACAGCGCAGGCTCACACCACCATGCCTGTCTGTTTTGTCTTTTCTCTGGAACAGGGCCCAGCATGGCCAACTCAACTTTGACTTCAATTGGCCTCACATGTTGTAATTGTCACCATCAGGTCAATGTTAGACAAGGCGTTACTTCTGGGTGGGTTCTCTGTAAAGGACGTGTGAAGCATATTTACCACAATACTTTATTTGTTCTGTTAGTGTCAATTCTATCTCGGAAAATAGCAAAAAAGACTGAGTTACACACAGTCAACCATCTTGTCTTACAGCTGGATCATCATTGAACTAAAACACAAAGAAAGAGAAAATCCTTACAACCTTCAGAGTTTGAAGACGTAAGTAGTTACATATACACCAGTGTATCTATGAACCTTGACAGTAGTTACATATATATTAGTGTATCTATGCACCTTGACAGTAATTACATACTATTGTGTTTATGCACCTTGACAGTAGTTACATATATATTAGTGTATCTGTGCACCTTGACTAATTACATACATTGTGTTTATGTACTTTGACAGTAATGACATGTACACCAGTGTATCTATGCACCTTGGCAGTAATTACATACATACTAGTGTATTTATGCACCTTGGCAGTAATTACATATCCACTGGTGTATCTATGCACCTTGACAAGAAAACTGTGTAAGTGATCTTGTGTCTTTCTCAGTACTCATCAGGAAATCATGATGTCCTCTGTCCCTTTACCGGGCCATGTCTGCTAGGTTTCTCCATTGCAGAGTTATCATTTTCTCCTTTGGAATTTATGAGTAATCTGTTGGCAGATTCATACCGGTACTGTGTAAAGGTTCAGTTTCAGTTTCTTTTTTTTTTTTTTTTTGTTTTTGTTTTTCGAGACAGGGTTTCTCTGTGGCTTTGGAGGCTGTCCTGGAACTCACTTTGTAGACCAGGCTGGCCTCGAACTCACAGAGATCCACCTGCCTCTGCCTCCCGAGTGCTGGGATTAAAGGCGTGCGCCACCACCGCCCGGCAAAGGTTCAGTTTCTAATCGAACTGACACTCAATAACTCTAGGATCACTGACTGATGCTGGCTTAAACCATTTACTGTTATGATAATTACAAATGACATTAAAATTACGCAGCCTAGCTACTATTGCATACCTGTAATCCCAGAGGCAGGGACAGTCAGGTCTTTGAGTTTGAAGCCAGCCTGGTAAATATAGAAAGTTCCAAGTCAGCCAGGGACACATAGTGAGACCCTCTCTTTAAAAAAAAAAAGGTAATAATAATAACAGTCCTTGAGCTGTCTGCCTAAAATGTAGAGATTCGATTATTGTGTATTACATACCAGCAAACTTTTTAAATTATTTGCAGTGCACTTGAGGATGTATTCATGTCTCGATACAAACTGAATCAGAAATTTATCAAAGATATTCTGGTAAGTTCTTTTGTGTGTTTGTTTTTTGTTCTGTTTCTTGGTGAATGAGCTAGCTTTGGTAGCAAGTTGGTAGAGTGGTATGGTTTAGGAATAAAAGACATCAGTGACCCACCCCCCACCCAATCCCTGACACACACACACTCACACACACACACACACACACACACACACACACACACACACACACACACACACACACACAGGCTTTCTCTGTGTAGCCCTGGCTGTACTGGGAACCAGTTCCAGGTTGGCCTGGAACTCAGAGATCCACCACCTGGAGACAGCCAGTGATTTTTAATGGTAGCTAAATGAGTTTTAGTAACAGTTTAAATCCTGGGCACTTAATATGGAATCCAAGTTGTTTTCCTTCCATAGACTTTGAAAGTCTCAACTGCCCTGGAGGACCGGCACTGTCTCTTATTGTGCCTGAAATGTGACGCTGCCCTACTTATCCTGTAAGGGCCTTTTTCTGATGGCCTCCAGCGCACACTGCCCTGGGCTGTCCTTACCCAGTGTCTTGCTCTCCTTAACCATCTCATTACAGATGGTTGTGAGCCACCATGTGGTTGCTGGGAATTGAACTCAGGTCCTCTGGAAGAGCAGTCAGTGCTCTTAACCTCTGAGCCACCTCTCCAGCCCCGACCTTAACTCTTTTTTCAAAAATCGTTTGTATTGCTATTTTATTCTCTTAGATTGGATGACCTCTGAAAGATTTTTTTTTCAATTACAAATGATAAATTTAATTATTCATCAATGCAAAGAGCTCCTGGTGGATATATGGATTATGGAAGATCAAATTATAAATATTCTGACTGTTGATCAAAATTTTCATATATTTTAATTACTAATTTGCATTTTCACCTTTTCCCCCCAGTATGAGAATAATGTCATCACTATTGATCTGATGCAAAACTCTTCTCAGAAAGCTCAAGATGACGTGGACATAGCTGATGTGGCGTACTATTTTGAGAAAGATGTAAGTATAAGCCTAATTTTTAATAAAGCTTAGTATTTTTTTTTTTTTTGCTGTCATTTGCTTTTAAAGACAGGATGTCTCTATATAGCCCTGGCTGTCCTGAAACTCAAGATATATGTGTCTATCCTTGTAGTCACAGAGACTTGCCTCTGCCTCCAAGTGCTGGGCACCTTAAAGACATATGCCAGTGTTTGTTCCTTTTTGAGACAGGCTCATACAATCCAGGCTGGCCTCGAGCTCTCTGCGTAGCTGACCTTGGACTTCTGGTCCTCCTGCTTCCGTCTCTAGTCAAGAAGAAGAAAGAAGTAGCCATTCAGGGAACGAGGTGACGGGAGATTGCCCTTCCAAACATGAGCTTTTTTTTTTTGTTTTTTGTTTTTTTTTTTTTTGTTTTTTCGAGACAGGGTTTCTCTGTGGCTTTGGAGGCTGTCCTGGAACTAGCTCTTGTAGACCAGGCTGGCCTCGAACTCACAGAGATCCTGCCTCTGCCTCCCGAGTGCTGGGATTAAAGGCGTGCGCCACCAACGCCTGGCTCTTAAGAGCATCTACTGTTCTTCCAGAGGACCTGCGTTTGATCCCCAGCAAGAACATCAGGCAACTATCAACTGAAATTAAATTAAGAATAATAAAAATCTAAATCTAAGAAAAAATAAAAAAGAATAGATGTCCATCGTGGATGGCATGGCATGGGAAGCAGGCCAACTCAAACACCAGAGAGAACCCTTTTATAACTTTCCTAGGGACTGAGGAGCCTGGCCAGAACTCAGAGCCAGTTTGGAAGGGTGTCTTGGCGTTGGAGTTCTGTTGTTAGAAGCAGCGGAGATAAGGAAGCGCAGTTTCTGTTAGCAGGGCATGTAGAAACCAAAGGTGGTGGGAAATACATGTCTGATGTCTTAGGGGGAGGAGGACCAGCTAGGGGTCTGTGATGTAACAGTCCCAAGTGCTAGATTACAAGTGTGTGCTACTATGACTACTTTTATGTCACACTGGGGACTGAACCCTGGACCCTGCATGTACTAGGAAAGCATTCTGCCAGTCTCTGGCTCCTCTGGCTCTTCTGTTTTAATCTTGCTTGTGTTAGGAATCGAACCCAGTATGTACCCCAGTATGCTGGGAAAACAGTCTACTACTAAGATATGTATACCTAGCCTTCTGATTCTTGTTTTCTCTTTGGTTAGTTACTATATTGGTATATATAATCTCCATCTGTTGTTCTTACCATTTCTAAGGGTAATCTTCACTTTAAAGCCTAATGTTTAAATTATGCGTGTCTGTGTGTATCTGTGTGCACGTTGGTGCAGATGCCTTTGGAGACCGGAGGCCAGCTGGTCCCCAGGGACCTGGATTACACTTGTTTGGGAGCTGCCTGATGTGGGTGCTGGGAACCGAACTCAGGCCCCTTAAATGCTCTCAATTGCTGAGATGTCAACTCAGCCTCTGTTATAACAACCTGTATATAAAAGCCAGAGGTAACGGTTTCTATCCCGGCACCTGGAGTCCTAGCACTTTAGATGCTGAGGTGGGAGGACTAAGTTCAAGGCCAACTTCTTATAAACATGTTTTTGTTCTTTGTTGTTCTTTCTTATTCCTTTTCCTTTTCTTTTTTCTTTTGACAGAATTTTATAGTAGCCCAGATTGATTTAGAATTCATGGTAGAGGGGTAGAGGATAGATATCTTGCTTCTAAGACTTATGGTTACAAATACAAGACACAGAACCTGGCTAAACTTGTGCTTATCTTGTTTATTTATTTAAAGATTTATTTATTCATTTATTATGTATGCAGTGTTCTGCCTGCATGTATCCCTGCAGGCCAGGAGAGGGCACCAGATCTCATTCCAGATGGTTGTGAGCCACGGCTCTTAAGCACTGAGCCATCTCCCCATCCCTTAAACTTGCGTTTGCTATACTGAGATATTTTGAGATTTACTTTAGAATATTTCAGGCATGAGAGATGAAGGGATAGAAGAAAGAATGATGAAAGTAAATTGGCCAGGTGTTGATGTTTTTTAATCTGGAGGGTAGGGACATGGCTTTTGTTTCTACTTCAGAGTATGGAATTTCCCATAAGAAACAGGGCTTTAATGTTCCACTGGATCAGGTGGTTCTCATTAAACTGATAAGATTCTTGGCAGGTTTTCTTCTGCTATATACAATTGGTATGCAATTATTGTTGCCCATGTCTGATTCCCTTAAACGATTCTCATTGCTTTTCTCTGTTGTAGGTGAAGGGGGAATCCTTGTTCCATTATTCTAATAAAATGGACCTGAGAGTGAATGGAGAACAACTTGAATTGGACCCTGGCCAGACCCTGATTTACTATGTTGATGAAAAAGCCCCCGAATTCTCAATGCAGGGGCTCACGGCCGGCATCATTGCTGTTATTGTGGTGGTGGCATTAGCGATCATCGCGGGGGTAGTTGTGCTGGTAGGTACAGACGGGTCAGGGCTCTGAAGGATGTGTTCTTAAAGTTGATCACTAAGAACTATATCCATTCTTGCTGGCTGGTGGTGGCACACACCTTTAATCTCAGCACTCATTCGGGAGGCAGGGGTAGGTGGATCTCTGCATCTGAAGCAGCCTAGTCTATAGAGGGAGTTCCATCTCGCAGAAGACAAACAAAGGACTATCCAAGTTTGAAAAGTTAGTGAAGGACTCTTGTGCTTCTGCCTCCTTTTTTTCAAAAATAGCCACCTTCTAAAGCCAGAAAGGAATAGTCATGGGAAAACCGCTTGCAGCTGAACCCCTCACAGCCTGGTTCCATTGCCTTCAAGCAGAATAGCCTTGGGTCCTCTGCAAGGAATTCAGCGGTTCTGCCGGAACACAGTAGCATAGAAGACTCCCAAAATGTTCACTGAGCTGGGCAACACATCCCTTGTTTCTGTTTTTGGTGGGGCTGGGGAGCTGAGCGCAGGCTGCAAGCATTCGAGGCTATAATGAGCTATGCCTGCCCCCAAAACAACACAAAGCTTAGCAGGAAAAGAATCAGAAGTCGTACATGTAGCAATGATTCTACACAAGTAGCAAATTTGCTCTGGGTACAACGGCAAAAGCCCATAATCCCAGCACTGGGAAGTTAAGGCTAGAGTATTAGGGATCTAAAGAAGTGACCTTTATTCCAGGGCCTTAAGGGTGATTGGCATCGGGTGGTCTCATCAGTATATCAGAATTCAGAAGTAGATTTGATAGGGGTAGGATAACGTATTTCTGTATTCATGCCCTTGAGAACCCGAGGCAAGAGGATCAAGACTTTAAGGCCTGGGCCTGGAGAGATGGCTCAGTGCTTAAGTGCCCTTGTTGCAGGCGGAGGGGGGGGGGGGCTGGAGGGGGCTGGAGAGATAGCGCAATGGTTAGGAACACAGGCTGCTCTTCCAGAGGTCCTGGGTTCAATTCCCAGCACCCACATGGTGGCTCACAACCATCTGTAATGAGATCTGGCAGCCTCTTCTGACATGTAGGTATATATGCAGGAAGAACACTGTATATGCAATAACTAAATGTTAAAAAAGAAAAAAAAGAGCACTTGTTGCTCTTGGAGATGACCTGGATTTGGTTCCCAGAGCCCACATGGGAGTTTACAACCATCTGTAACTCAGTCCCCAGGGTTCTGGCTGCTCCTGGCCTTCTTAGGCACCAGGCACACATGTAAGATAAGATCTGAAGGTGCACGGTAACTTGATTTTTCAGTTCAGTATTGTTACCTCACTTGGTTCCCATCTGATAGAAAACAAACGCTGAATTCCTATTTTAGCCCTATGGGGGTTGTCTATGTTACCCATGTGTATGGACAGGCACGTGAGGGCTTGGGAATATAAAAAGTAGGACAATGAATGCACATGTGTTCAAACTTGAATGCAGATGGATTATTGAGTAGAATGGAAGAAGATAACGTCAAAAGAAATTAGTATAAGGGATGATGATATTTTGTCGTCAAAGAAAACATGTAATGCAGGGAACTTAAAAATCCAGAAAGGGGCCGGGCGTTGGTGGCACACGCCTTTAATCCCAGCACTCGGGAGGCAGAGGCAGGCGGATCTCTGTGAGTTTGAGGCCAGCCTGGTCTACAAAGTGAGTTCCAGGACAGTCTCCAAAGCCACAGAGAAACCCTGTCTCGAAAAACAAAAAACAAAAATCCAGAAAGGGCTATATTAATACATAAATTCAGCTTTGTTTTTGTGGTACTGGGAATTAGATTTTAAGGCCTCATGTGGCAGGTAAGCTCTGTCTCAGCATCCCCAACTATCTTGGTTACTTTTCTATGGGTTTGACAAAACACCAATGCAAACTTATAAAAAGAAAGAGTTTACTGGGGACTCCTGCTCAGATCTGGAGAGTTAATGTCCATGACCTGATACTTCCTAACCAGACAGTTGCATCAACTTTGGACCAAGCACTCACGTACATGAGCCTATCTGTGGGGGCCTTTCTCATTTAAACTATTGCAGCCTCCCAAGCCCTGGAATTACAAATGTGAGCGAAAACACACCTGGCCGTGTGTGTGTGTGTGTGTGTGTGTGTGTGTGTGTGTGTGTGTGTGTGTGTGTGTGTGTGTGTGTGTTCCCATCCTTACCCCACAGGAGTCTACACAAACTGGTATTGAATTCCTGGGTTCAACTGGTCATCCTATCACACTTTGCTGGGACTATTGGAATGTGCCTCTATGCCCAACACAAATTAAGCATTTTAACATTTTGGGCTGGGCTTAGTGGCTCACACCTGTAATTCTGATCTTCAGGAGGCTGAGGTAGGAGGATTGAGAGTAAAGTTGGCTTAGGCATCTACCAAAATAAAAAGAAAATTCACATTTTCATGGCAAAGATATTACAAAAAAAAAAAAAAAAGAAGTAGCTGGGCATGGTGGCACACACCTTTAATCCTGGCACTCTGGAGACAGAAGCAGGCGGATCTCTCTGAGTTCCAGGATATCCTAGTCTTCATGGTGAGATCTGGAACATCCAGGGCTGTCTACACAAAGAATCCATGTCTTGAGAAACCTCCCAAAAAACCAAAACCAACTTTATGGGGCTGGAGGGGTGGCTCAGTAGTTATTAAGAACACTAGCTGGTCTTCCAGAGGTCTTTGAGTTCAATTCCCAGCAACTACATTATGGCTCACAACCATCTGGAATGAGATCTGGTACCCTCATGTGCATACAAAATGAATAAGTAAATCTTTAAAAAACAAAATAATAATTCCCTCCCTTTAATTGAAGATTGCTAATAGGGATAGATGGTTCCTAGAAGAGGAGCTTCAGTTGGCAAAAAAGCACACGGAACAGACAGAAATTTGTCACACATAAACCAAACTTCAATAAAGAAGTTTGACTGAGTCTGGTGGCACATATGGTTTCAATCCCTGCGCTTGGAGCCTGGTCTCAACAGTGTGTTCCAGGCCAGCCAAAGCTACTTCATGAGACCCTCTTTCAGAAGAACCAACTAGCCAACCAGAACCCAGGAAGGGCATTCAGGGTTATGTATCCATGTTACCTATAATAATCTAGGAAGCAGTCTGAGTGTTTACTGTCTGGAGAATGAATGGGTAAATGCATATATAGGGTATTTTATCTGTGTTCAGCTAAAAGCTTTTATAAAACTCCAGAAAGGTGCTTACGGTGTTGATATAGCCATTCAAAGAATTGGTACTGCTTGACCAGTTTTTAGTCTCCGCCCCAAATTTGTACACGTGTGCTTACATGGGTTCAAAGCACATATGTTCACTTGGGCCACTTTTGTTTGAGTAGTAGCTTCTAGAACTAACTTTTCATTTTCTCTCCAGGTTATTTCTACGAGGAAGAAATCAGCAAAGTATGAGAAGGCTGAGGTGAGTGGATTCTGGGCGATGCTGAATGTCTTACTTCCGGAAATCACTGCCCCTTCCTAGACACTGACAAAGCCCCATAACGCCCACGTCCTTCACACTGTCTTAGGGACAGTCTCAGGAGGAGCGCTTACCTAGTTTCGAGTCTCATGACAGACCACTCCATACCCCTGTCTGCTTCTGAGAACAAGGGTATGGAAACCAGAGGCTTTAGTTTTAACGGATCTGGAGTCTTGTGGAGGCATATTCTAGTGGTCCTGTGTTGGAGACGCTCCGTGTGACTGTTGATTTCCTGTGTCTCCACCGGTGTCTCTATCGCCGAAGCTGGGCTTGCTGATTACTAGGGAGGCAGAGGTCATCCTGGTCTACAGAATGAGTTTCAGGACAACAAGGGCTATACAGAGAAGTGAGAATCCTCGTCTTGAAAAACCTGAGAAAGATGAAAAGTCATTCAAGATGAACTTAACTTTGTAAATCTGTTAGATGCTATCTAGTCACAGATGATGAGGAGGAGGAAATTTTTGTCTTTGAACTCTGTGGATATTGTGTGTGTGCACACGCTTGCTCCTGTGTGTGTGTGTGTGTGTGTTCCCTCACCAATTCTGGCATGCCCATCGATTTGTAGTCATGTGCCACTTACTAAGACAATAACAAAGAAAAGAGGTGTGTGGGGCGGGCTGTTTCCCAATGATAATTTCAGTACGTGGGAAGCTGAGCTAGGCGTATTCACTGGGAGATGAAGCCAGGCGTGAATGTCACTGTGAGTTTGGGTCACAAGTGACAGGTTAGGCTGAAGGAACTAATAAGATTTGGATTTGACCAGCCGGGCGTTGGTGGTGCACGCCTTTAATCCCAGCACTCGGGAGGCAGAGGCAGGCGGATTTCTGTGAGTTCGAGGCCAGCCTGGTCTACAGAGTGAGTTCCAGGACAGGCTCCAAAACAATACAGTGAAACCCTGTCTCGAAAAACCAAAAAAAAAAAAAAAAAAAATTTGGATTTGACCACTTAATCAGCTAATCAAGAGCTAGAACTTCTTTATATCTTCATGCTTCCTTATCTGCAAAATGGAAAGTGCAAACCTGTCCCTAAGGATTTAACAGAGGACCCTGTCATGTGCTGGCCCTGTGATTATCTCATGTGAGACATTTACCAAGGTGGAGATCAACTTCATTGTCTCCGTCAGCCTAGAACTAAGGCTTATGGTCGGGGAGGCCACTTGACTCTGTATTTAGTCTCTTGTAAAGATTGCATCAGCTATGGTGGCTAACGCTTGAGGAAGCTGAGGCAGGTGAATCACCTTGAGTTGAAGGCCAGTCTTATCTAAATAGTAAGTCCAGGTCAGCCAGGGCTACCTAGTGAGACTTTGTCTTAAAACTAAAAAAAATTAAAAAAGAATGGGCAGTGGAATCCCATGCCTTTAATCCCAGCACTCTGGAGGCAGAGGCAGGTGGATCTCTGTGAGTTGGAGGCCAGTATGGTCTACAGAGTGAGTGCCAGGACAGCCAGAGCTGTTACACAGAGAAACCCTGTCTCAACAGTGTGCCCCCCTCCCCCACCCAAAAAAACCCCTATAGGGCCGGCAAGATGGCTCAGTAGGTAAGGAGCTTGCTGCTCAGACCTGTTGGCCTGAGTTTAATCACCAGAGTTCATGTAAAGGTGAAAGGAGAGGACCATTCCTGCAAGTTGTCCTCAGACTTCCACATGCAAATCATGGCATGTGTGCCCGTGAGCATACACACAGAATAATAGTTCTAAAAACTAAAATTATTTATTTGTGTAGAGACATATCCCTGGCTGTCCTTGAACTCACTCATAGACCAGGCTGATTTTTTTTAAAGATGAAAGATTGATGTTAGATAGTGAACTGTAGAAGTTATATATTTAATTGAGAGTCTTAATCTATGAAAAAAAATCTACCTTCATTGTGGCCATCTTGTTATAGAAAAAAGCCTGGCTGGGGATAGTGGGGCACACCTTCAATCCTAGCACTCAGGAGGCAGGTAGATCTTTGTGAGTTTGAGGCCAGCATAGTCTACAGAGTGAGTTACAGGACAGCTAGAGCTGTTACACAGGGAAACCTTGTCTTCAAAAACCAAAAACAAACCCAAAAAAGCAACTTTTCTGAGTCCGGTGTGATAGCACACACCTTAACCCCAGCACTCACGAGGCAGAGGCAGGTGGATCTCTTTGAGTTCCAGGACAGCCAGGGCGACACAGGGAAGCCCTGCCTTGAGGAAAAAAACAAAGAAAACCCTTTTCTGAACGAACGAAGGCTTGAAAGCTACTTACACGGCCTTGTGTGTTCTTCCCTTCCTGTTGCAGATAAAGGAGATGGGTGAGATACACAGAGAGCTCAATGCCTAGCCGCTCTGCTTTCTGAGGATGGAACCACCAGAAGGGGAGTTGGCAAAGGAACTCAGATTGCAAACCTGTGAGCATGGGACAAGATGAAGACTGGAAGGGTTACTGTTTTGTTAGTTAACATCCCAAATTTGTAATTGTGAAGTATGTACTCATAAATATAAGCAGCATTACCAATCCTCAAATTAGACAAATGTCTTACATGTGCAGGTCCGGTGTGGAACTCAGAACTTAGCCTGCATCGTTAATAATTTATGCTGAATACCGAAGTGTGTGTGTCACAAACATCCCCCAGTAGAATATGGTGACTAGTCTCATTTTCTGATTTAAAGCTGCCTTTCTGTATACCTGAGTCTTGTACATAAAACTTTTTTTTAATGAAATAAAACATTTTTAAACCGAGTTTTCTTGAGTTTGCATATGCATGTATGAGATCATAAATGTTTAAGTGGTCTGGTAACGGCCAAGTGGTACAAACTTGTGATTCTTGCTCTTGGGAGGCAGATGCTAGGAGATTGGAGTTTGCAGGGTCAGGGTATCCTCTGCTAGAGTTCCAGGCTACACAGCCAGACCCAGACCATCAATAACATATTCCCAGAGATGAGGTATTAGGTAGGTGGGGTGCCGGGGCATTCAGTGGTGGTATGTGCTTCAGCATCCTGGAGGCCCTGGGTTCAATCTGCATTATTAGGAAACATGCTACAGTTTTATTACAAGCTAGATCTTTTTGTGAGTGCTTACACATAGGATGTGTAACTACCTACATGTGGAACTTCACAGGGAAACAACCCTAATGTGAACGTGTGCACACAGAAAGTGGGCTGGGCTGCAGCGGTGATCAAGTAACCACTGCTTACCCGTGATGTGATGTGGGCAGCCGCCTCAGGTCCCTGCCACCGTGTCGGACTTGAGCCAACGTGAACCTTCTCCTCTACAAGTTGGCTTTGCCCTTGGAGAAGGTGCTAGAGAATTCACACATACTGCAGGGGTCAGGTGACTGAGCAGGCCCAGGAGTCTATCAGAAGTAGGGAACAACCCTTTTCCCTTGTCCGGCCTCTCTAGTGCCCTCTGCTGGTACAGCTTCATGTTCACTTGTACAAACCTGCCCAAAAGGGTGAATTTGGAGCTGGTACTTTAACCCACTGCTTTTTATTGTGAAGCGACTGGTAAACATGAACCTATGCATGCCAGTACATCCTCTCCAAGGCCTACCATGGTCATATTTGCCCCATCCCCCACCCAGTATGTTGTCTATACATTATTTTCAGTGTCTCCTTCTTATTTTCCGCTCTTACCAATTCTGAAATACTGTCATGGTGGAAGTCCCACCCCAGCCCCCTCCTCTATCTCCCTCCAAACCCTGCTACGTCTCAGAAAGCCTGCCAAATGGTGACCCCTTCCCCAGAGATGCTCAAGACCACTCCCACAGGGTGTTTAAATTGCCCCCCCAAAATAGGTTTCCGGTCTCTTTCTCATCTCCTCTCTGGGGGGCTGGAAGGCCATCTGGGAGCGTTGTATCCATTAAACATGGGCTTTTGCTAATTCGGTTTGATTTGGCCTGATTTGGATTGCTGCATCCTCACAGAGGCTTATCTGGGTGTAGAAATTTTTCACTAACTTTTCCAGGATGTGTTTCTCCTGTCATGTTTCTCCTGCTGGAGGATTCTGTCCAACTCCTTGACTTAGCTGCCTGCCATCTAAGCCTCGATAGCTGGTGAACAGCCTCCATTTCTCACCTACATACGGAGTTCCAAACTGTTTCAGATGACTAACTCAGGGATCTCATTGCCTTCCTGTGTGTGTTAGCCAGGTGCTCCACCCCTGACCTGTATATATCCCTGACCTATATCCCTGGCCTGTTTCTTCCAACCATTTAATGGCAAGCGGGGCCTGGTGGCATAGACTAGTAGCATTTAGCCTTTAGGACAGAGAAACAAGATTATCCCTATGAAGTTACAGCCCCTTTGGTATACCCAGATGGCTGGCCCTCAGGAAATTGTATAGTGACAGAACAAAGTTATAAATCAAGGCATTTTCCCAATGCATTGAATGGTTAAGCATCAGTGTTACAGTTACACGGAAGGGGTGGTGGGTGGGGTACCTTTAAGAGGCCTTAGATCTTATGTGATGACATTTTTCATCTGAGTTAGTTAAGGGATCTGTGCATTTTACAAAGACTTTACCTGATAGCCACAAGGCTGTTAAGGTAAACACAGAGGTGAGCATTAGACAGCTTTTTCAGGGACTATAATTAGCCCAAGATAATTCGGCTCCGACCTTGAAACATTTCAGTTCTCCACAATCGCTTATGCCTTAGTCCACTAATTAGCCCTGTAGAGTATTTATAACACTGTAGGTTTTGTTCTCTCTCTCTAAGCGCTAGTTTACAGTCGCATGTAGCTTAGCCTGGCCTCCAACGGTGTTGCCAAGGATGACACGGAGCTGAACTTTTCACCAGCCCCACCCTGGATTTTAGTTCCTCCGGCTCCCATCTCCTCAGAACTGGGGTTTCAGGTACGTGCCACCATGCTTGTTTCCAAACTAGATTTTTTTTCTTTAAATAAAATTTAAAAAAAAATTATTGTGTGTGCGCTGTCAGTGTGAGTGCAGGTGTCTGCGGCTGACACCTCCCCCTCAAGAATCTGGAGTTACAGGTCATGGTGAACTGCGTGGGTGCAGTCAGCTGTAGAAACACTATGAGGGTAAGAAACTGCTGAGCAATCTCTCCAGTCCACAAAGTATCCTTTTTGTTTGTAAGTCAGGCTTTCCCTCTGTTTGTCCTGGAACTCGCGCTGTAGACCAGGCTGGCCTCGAACTCAAAGAGATCCGCCTGCCTCTGCCTCCCGAGTGCTGGGATCAAAGGCATGAGCCACCTCACCTGGCTTCCAAAGTGTTTTTTTTTTTGAATAAATTAGTCCACGGATGGATGAAAAGAGGAGCTGAGTGAGTGGGAGGCCGTGGAGATTAACTCTGAAACCTTAGGGCAGGCAGTTTGCTTAAAAGGGTTAGGGACAGGGAGGGTCAGCCACACGTTCAAGACTGGGTAGAGAAAGCAGGGTAGTCGCCCTTGGTTTACAAGTTCTGTGTGTCTCCCTCCCCCGTTTCCGGTCACTCGAGAGCCCCGCCCACCCGTGTCACACCCACCCACCTGGGCCCCAGGCTGAGCGCCCTGAAAGCATAGCCGCCGGAGGTGTTTTAAGGATGCGCGCTTGCGGGTCGGCCCGCTCCCAAATCTAGCGCGCATGCGCAGTAGCTAGAGGCCGAGAGACCGCGGGAAGCCCGGGTCTCATTCGCTTCTGATTGGCTACCGTAGTAAGAGTCCCACCCGCCGCGCGCAGCGCTGCATGCTGATTGGGCGATCCCCGCCGCGACCGTGCGCGCGGCCTAGCGGCGAAAGGGGGGTGGCGGGAATCGAGCCGGCGGGCGCAGGGTCGCGCCGTGTCCTCAGGGGCTTGTGTGGAGCGGCTCAGAAATGGCGGTGCAGCCTAAGGAGACGCTGCAGTTGGAGGGCGCCGCCGAGGCGGCCTTCGTGCGCTTCTTCGAGGGCATGCCGGAGAAGCCGAGCACCACGGTGCGCCTCTTCGACCGCGGCGACTTCTACACGGCGCACGGCGAGGACGCGCTGCTGGCGGCCCGCGAGGTGTTCAAGACCCAGGGCGTGATCAAGTACCTGGGGCCGGCAGGTGAGGGCAGCCGCGGCCACAGTACCGGCTCGGGGCGGGGGAGCCCGGCGAGCTGTCTTGCAGCGCCGAGGCCCGGGGCCGGAAACCCGCGCGCAGCCTGCAGCCGGCGGGACGGCGAGCGCTCGAGAGGTGGCTCCGGATGGCGCGCGTTTAGTGCGTGGTTCCCATCCGTCCTCCCACGGCGGGGTGGGCTTGGCTAGGCCCGGACGAGCTCGTGCTCAAACACCCCCTAGTCAGGCTGTGCACGAACTCCCGACCCCTCGTGTTTCGGGCGTCCAGAGTTGGTAGGATTGAAGTCGCGCGTCTTCGTGCTTAGATCCGCGTCTCTCCTCTCATCGCAGTCAGCATCGTAGGAGTGAGGCGTGGCTGGGCGCCTTGGGAGACTCCTTTAGGTTACCCTCATTTTGCCAGCGTGGCTTATTATTTTTACCGTCCCCCTTGAGACCCTGCGGTGGACCATCGTTGAAGGGGGTAGTGTGGCTAAGTGGTCAGGACAGGGGCTCCGTCTTGGAATTGAACTACCCAGATTTCAGTTGCAGCCCCCAACCCCCCACTGTTTGCTGTGTGCGGTTGGGCTCGTTGGAAAGCTGTGCTTAGCATTCATTGTAGTCTGCCACCTGGCTCTGCCACCGAGCATCAAGTGTCCTAAAAGGCTGCAGACCTTACTTAGAGCCTAGGCAGATAATCTAACAGCTCCCCTCCCCCCCCATTGCCTTTTCTTTTAATTATAATGAAAGAGCATTCTAGAACACTTTGGAATTGAGTTCTAATTCTTATGCAGTCTTAGGCAAACGATGTTACAGACAAAAGATAACCGCCTTATCTACTACTTGACCAGTGCTGGGTGTGTAGACACAGACACACACACACACACACACACACACACACACACACACGAAATCCTGTGTCCATTATTAGTTACTCATTTCCCCCAGTTTTCCCAGCCCTTGCCACTAGTTTATTGTTTGTGTCTAGATGTGTATATTCAGGGATGTAACGTCTAAAGTCATATTTTGTCTTTGTTGCAAGGCTTGTCTGTGTTACCAATATTTCATTTCTTTTGGTTGCTAAGTAATCGTGTGGCTCTCTCACGTTTTATTTGTTCATGGGAATTTGTTTTGTTTTGGTTTCTTGAGTCTCACTATTTATCCTTGGCTGACCTGGAACCCCGTGGGTTTACCAGGCTGTCTGTGAGTGATCTGCCTCCCAGAGTGCTGGGACTAGAGGATTTCACTCCACTGAACTTGTTCCTTGAATCTACACTGCTATTTGCCTTTGTGCCCAGTCTTCCCAGCAATGCAGTGACAAGCAGGCTCTCTGTATCTCTCTGGCCCCTCCCGTGGCCTCAGACAGGTTCCTCTGGAGCCTGCACCTGGCATCTGTTCACTGACATTTTGCGTCGTTGTCATCATCCACGACTATAAAGGCCTGTCTGTGCTTAGGGAGAGCCTCCTACCCCAGCCTCTGAAGGTCACGCGCTGGAATCCACCATCACAATACCTGTTTAACCCATTTAACCCGTTTCTTTATATCTCGTTACCTGGTGCACTGGAATGCAAGTGGGGATTATTCCCAAGAGAATCTTTTGTAGTACGAATTTGGGTATATTCCTTCTGGGAAGAGCATGGGCAGCTTTCGGTTCTAATCATTGTTTCACGTAGAAAAATCAACCCTGCTCCCTACAGAGGTTGGCTCTTGAAAGTAGAATATACTCAGACA